CGAGGTTGTAACTGGAGAACTCAGCCATTACGACAGTTGGTTACTCCCATCTCGCTTGTCGTCGCAGTCGTCCTCCACCCGAGGCTTCTTGCCTGGTGGTCGATTGCGGAGATGCCTTCTTGAGCTGGATGAGCCGATAGACTAATCTGTTTCGTTGCCATCGGACTTGCCACTAGCAGTTTTGCGATCCACTCCACTGCTAGCAGGGGGCTGTTGACCTGTAGAGGGAGTCAACGACCCGCTGTCCGATGGGGGAATCGAAGCCGAGGAAGAGGCTAGCGTGGGAAAATTCTGTTCGTTGCGGATCGGTGGTAACAATTTCTGTTGTCGGTGGGAAACTTGTTTCGGTGGCGGCATGGTAGCCGGGTTGACCGAGTTTGGTTCGAAACGGGGCCGTGCAGCTTGGTTCGAAGTTGTTTTGCTTTGATTCGCACTGGGAGCGATTTGGTTCGAGTGTGTGTTGGTTTGGTTCGGAGTATAGTCGGCTTGAGATGTTTTTTGTGAAGGCATCTGCTTTGCGGCATCGGCGTACGACTTCTGCACGAGCAATTTTTTATTCTGCACGCAAGTAGCCCCGATGTGGATGTATTCGCGGCAGTGTCGGCATGTTTGTAGCTGCCCGAAATACGATATATTCGTCACTTCACCGTCGATGATGACCCACGACTCGATATTACGATTGACTTTCATTTTCGCTATGCGGACACCGGTCGAAATACCAGGGAAATCGATATCGGCTCCACATCGTTGCTCTCGTACTGATATGACGTCACCATACCTTCCGAGAAAATCGGCGATTTTTTGGTCCGACACCTCGGACAAATCGAAGAGTCTCACCTCCACTGCTCCATCCTCCAGCGTGATCCTTAGCGGATATTTTTTTTCCGTCGACGGTAATGTCGTGTTGGTTGTCATGTTCCTCGCAGATTCGTTGCGCCAACTCTAGGTCGACAACTTTCACGAACGAAACACCGAGGGCTCTGCTGTTCTGTATACGTAGCACTTCACCTTGTTTCAGACCAAGAATGGTCGCACAGAATTTGTGGACTTTGGCAAGGTCCGGTTTCTTCGGCACATTCGAAAAATCTATTCGAAAGGTATTTTCTCGACGGCCCATCGCGGAGTCGTTTGGACGCGCAGCGACACGGAAAAACGGCTCAGCGATGAGCAGAATACGAAAAAACACAGTTAACACTGGAAATTAGTTCGTGTTCGACTTCCACGAGCAATAACAAAAACGCGTATGTTCAGCTCGGAAGTTGAGCGCTCACTAACCAATCGCGCAGTTTATCCGGAAATCCGTACTCGTGCATAATCTGCCATAGCTGATCTCGATCGATTGTGTGGTATGCGGATTTGAAATCGATGAACAAATGATGTGTGGGCACGTTGTATTCGCGGCATTTCCGCAGAACCTGCCGAACCGCGAAAATTTCGTCCGTGGTAGCGCGGGCACCCATGAATCCCGCCTGGTATTGCCCCACGAACTCTCTTGCATATGGTGACAGACGGCGGCATAGAATTTGGGAGAGTACCTTGTAGGCGGCGCTCAGCAGTGTGATCGCGCGGTAGTTGCAGCAATCCAACTTGTCGCCCTTTTTGTAGATTGGGCATACGACACCTTCCAACCACTCCTCCGGTAATATCTCCTCCTTCCAAATCTTGGCAATTACCCAGTGCTTCACCACCGTATTTTAATAGCTCACTTGGTAGTTGATCTACACCAGTTGCTTTGTTGTTCTTCAGCCGACCGATCTCATCCTCAACTTCTTGAAGATCAGGGGTTGGTAGGCTGTCGTCTTCTGCACGTGCTCCAAGGTCTGTTGCCGTGCCACCTTCGTTTTCTGCTGCTTCACCGTTGAGGTGCTCGTCATAGTACTGCTTACACCTCTCAATCACCTCACACTCGTTCGTGAGAAGGTTACCGTCAGTGATGCCACATATACAGATTTATCTGTAATCATACAGATTTTTTTCAATATTTTGATACAGATATCTGTATATACAGATTACAGATTTTTGAAAAATATACAGATTTTTCAGATTTTTCAAATAAAGGGAATATATTTTGTATTGTTTTTTTTTAATTTATTAATTCATATAAATAATCATTTCTTCCTTTTGAGCAGCTTGAATTCAATCTGAGCATCAAACCCAAATCGTATTTTTCACTTCTGATGTTCTGATTTCTCGTTGGAAGGAATATTAGTTTCCTTTCTATTTGTTTAATTAACCACGTCACCTGGTGACAGATACGAAGGTTAATTAAATATATTTTTGTCAACTCGGTAAACAAGCCATTTTAGAAAACCCACAAAGTGGTTGATTACAGTTTGTGAGTCGAAGAATCAACTGGATATTTTTAAATTTAAAAAGCGTGATTACAGAAATAAAAAATTTGCATGCAATTCGACTAAACTTCCTGTAAAAGTTCTGTGTTATGTCAAATGTCCAGATAAAGGTTTGCGTAATCTGAGACATAAATAAATCAAATTCTAGGGTATTGTGATAGTTACTTCATTTAGGAAATTTTCAGTCGGAAACAGATTTGTATCTTGCAACTGGTACTGAATGTTTTGTATTTTCAGACAGTAGAAGAGACAAAACAGTCCAAAAATCAAGATTGTATGATTTCAAGATTTTTAAAATAGACAAATTCTTTAGAGAGCAAACTTTAGTAATTTTTCATGATTCAAAACATTGAACAAACTCCTTCTGAACTACGAATTTGCTCAATGGAGATTTACGTAAATTCGCAATGAGACTATAATATAGAAACTATACAGATTTTTTCACAGATTTTTGTCAGCCAGATACAGATTAAAAAGATTTTTTGCGATGAAAATACAGATTGAACTTCGACAAAATGTGGCATCACTGGTTACCGTCCAAGTCCTTGCACATATCGGCTTGCGGCACGTAGCTTTTGCGCGAACTATTTAACTTCTCGTAGAACTTCCGTGTGTCGTTTGCGCGGTACAGATTTTCCATCGCCTCGCGATCTCGGTCTTCCTGCTGACGCTTCTTCCTTCGGAAAACCGAGTTTTGTCTGTATCGCTCCACATTCAATCTCGTGCGGTGTTGCAGCATTCTCGCCCGTGCTGCATTCTTCTCCTCTACTAAAAGCTTGCATTCGCCGTCAAACCAGTCATTTCTTCGGTCCGGGATTGCAGTACCTAGTGTCGCTGCAGCAGTACTATGGCAGTACCTATGGCTGAACGGTTTTCCTTCGAGCCATCTTCAAGAGAAGCTGCGCCAAGCTGCTCTTCCGTGGGTAGTGCAACTTCCAGCTGCTGCGCGTAGTCCTGGACAACTCCGGCGTCCCGTAGTTGCTCAATGTTGGGTCGCGGCGTTCGACTTCGACGTGTGTTATGCACCGTCGAGAGTTTTGAGCGCATGCATACTGCAACTAGGTAGTGGTCCGAATCTATGTTCGCACTGCGGTACGTGCGGACGTTGATAATGTCGGAGAAGAATTTCGCGGCGATTAGAACGTGATCGATTTGGTTTTCTGTGTGTTGGTCAGGTGATCTCCAGGTGGCTTTGTGGATATCATTGCGGGGGAAAAAGGTACTTCGAACTACCATTCCTCGAGAGGCTGCAAAGTTCACGTGGCCGTTGTCGTTCGATACGGCATGCAGGCTGTTTGGCCCGATTGCCGGTCTATACATTGCCTCCCGCCCTACCTGAGCGTTCATGTCGCCGATGACGATTTTGACGTCCCGTTGCGAACAGCCGTCGTACACCTGCTCCAGCTGCGCATAGAACGCTTCGTTCTCGTCGTCGGGCCTCCCTTCGTGTGGGCAGTGCACGTTGATGATACTGTAATTGAAGAAACGGCCCTTAATCCTCAACTTGCACATCCTCGCGTTGATCGGCTGCCTACCAATCACGCGTTGGCGCATCTTACCCAGCACTACAAAGCCGGTTCCCAGCTCGTTGGTGGTGCCACAGCTCTGGTAGAAAGTAGCCGCTCGATGTCCGCTTTTCCATACCTTTTGTCCCGTCCAGCAAAGTTCCTGCAGTGCTACGACTTCGAAGTTGCGTGGTTGAAGTTCGTCATAGATTAACCTATCGCAACACGGGAAGCCGAGTGATTTGCAGTTCCATGTTCCGAGTTTCCAATCGTAGTCCTTATTTCGTCGCGTAGGTCTGTGCCGATTGTTCCGATCCGTATTTCTTTCTTCGGTATTTGCAGCTTTGTTTTTTTTTTTCAGGGCGGCTTGTTGGTGTTTTTGGAAGATTCAAAATGGCTGAATTTTAGCTCAAATGAGAATGATTGACCATAACAAACAATTATGCAAAGATTCAAGCAAATCGAAAAAGATAGCAACAGAATTTGCTTTTGATATCAAGGAATTTGGCCACAACATCCATAAATGGCGTTGCAAATTTTCGACCGATATTCCAATCTCGTCTCGATCTATCTCGCTCACTGTTGCCACACAACCTCAACATCTCATTATCGCATAATGGCGGACCGTGAGTAGGTAGGTGGCTATTACGACGTGCAAAATGCAATTTTCATTAACTTCGAAGCTCCTTCGTGTCCTCGATCCAATTATTATGGATGGGAAACTTTGCCTTTTTAAAAGCCACGAATTTTGTTTGCACCGGCACCAGGCTGTGGCAATATAGTGAATGCTGCTCGGTGCAAATCGTTTTCTCTCTGCTCTTTTAGTGCATGTAATGGGAGGCTACTATTGTAGGCGGTAATTAAAATGGAGATTCGATGTTTTTAATTTTCCTTTTCGGGGGCTACATGTTTGGGTTTTGCACTTTGCATAATTGAACTTGAATTGTGTACTAACTCTTCGCTTCAACAGAGTGCTCAACTCTTCTAAACATACAAATAATCCGCCGCTGAAATAAACCGAACCGAACGATCTTTCAAAACACCTTCCTAAATCTCTCCACCCTCGGTCCCAATTAGGTCACTCACCGTAAAATCGATACGACCGATATTAAATCCACAAATTTCTTTCCCTCTCATTTTACAGCTTGGAACACTGGTCCCGATCGCAACGCCAGCACCTCCAACGTCCACCGTGATACCACCGCCCCACCGGCCCGACCTGCAGGCTTCCAATCTGATAAACAACATCCCGCAGCCACTGGAAGGACCATTCGTAAGTTTACATTCGAAAATAAATCTTTTATTATTCTCACTTTCTTCACTCTTCACCAAGCCAAACCTGACCTGTCTGCCGGGTTCCACGGCCATACTTTCTCTCCCTCTGCCTCTTACTAAGCTTATGGCCTTTTGTGCCCTCATCCTGGCGAGAATAAAATACAATTTATATCCCCTCAAAATTTCATCCTCCCGCACCGAACGACGGACGGATGAAAACGGGTCGCCCACACACACACAGTAGTCAAATTTTCCAATCCCGGAAAGAACTGGCCGACCGACCCTATCCGTCGCCCTCAAATTAGGCCACTTTCTGCTTCCCATGAAACAAAGCTACCGCCCCTTTCCGGCATCCCCACTGCATTGATACGGCACAACATCGAGCAACGGTGGCGATTCGGCGAAAAATTTATGACACAAACGCTGTCATTGAAATTTATGTTTCATTTTTCGGAATAATAATCCAATATTTATAATTTAAAACGTCTCTTCATTATCATCCGCTGCTGGCACTGCGGGCTCCAGCCCCTCCGCACGTGAAGCGAACAATGTTGTTACGGCAATGCTCCATCCTTCGTATATAGCCTCAAGGTACCGTCGAACGGAGGGAAGCTGGTCGCCATTAGATCTTCCGCCTTGAAGATAAGCTTTATCGGATTCAACATATCAAGAAGACTCATCGCTTCGCACAATCTCGCCATCTACCGGTTAAAAAGTGAAAGCTCCGGATGATCTATCGGAAATAATGTATCAACTGATTTCCGTTATACATCCCTTTCACAGACTTCAAAATAGAGCACCTGATACTACAAAACATATCTGGTATCTCTGTTCTTGAATTCCCTACTTTTTTGCATACTCGGCACCAGGCATGGAAAATCATTTGCATTCATTTCATACATTAATTTACATTCATTTGCCTCTAATTTTTTTCATCATCAGCATTCTGCAAAATGATGAATAGAGCTTTTGTGGATTTTGTTATTAACTACAAGTTTTGCTCCTAAACTCAAATCTGTATCTCTTATGCATCACGAAATAGAGCGGGCAGAACTTGTTACTGTTTTTCAGTGAATGTAAAATACATTCACTGAAAAATAGTAGTGGCTTCTGTTCGCTCTGCTTCGTCATGCATAAGAGATACGGATTTGACTTGTTAACAAAAGTTGTAGTTAATAACAAAACCTACAAAAGCTCTAAACATCATTTTGCGGAATGCTATTGAAAAAAAAAAGTTAGAGGCAAATGAATGTAAATGAATGCACGAAATGAATGCAAATGATTTTCCATGCCTGCTCGGCACAACAACAAAATTTCTACGCCCCTCCCCTAACAGGATTTCCCGCCGTTTAAATGAGTAGGGCGGGGCTTAAAATGTATATTTTTGTGTCGAGTATGCAAAAAATGAGAGTCTTTGGATGTTAATCAAAGTGAATAAGAAAAGATACCAACAACTTTTTCAGTATCAGATAATCTATTCTAGCGATACCGATGGTGTAGTGGTAATAAGCGGGATTACCTCTCACTCCATAGGGGCTGGTTTCAATCCTAATCGGCGCCGCCGAGATTTTATGAGGCATAAAATCTCTGATCATGCCTTCCTTTGGAAGGGAAGTAAAGCCGTTGGTCCCCGGTCCATGAGTTGATGGGTCAATAGGTAGGGTCCAGCTGTGGAAGCTGTCTACCTGGCATCGATAGCATTGGTACTCAGTACGGGAAAGCAAGATCGACGGCAACCGAATCAAGGAAAAGGGGTATTCTATTCAGAAGTCTGGGAGTGGAAAATCACAAATCGTATGCCATCAAAATGCATATTGAGAGATTGAGCTCCTACTTATCACTTCAACTTTGACAAATCTGCCTGTCTTCTTGATATGATGTCTTCGGTATTGTAAAATGCAATAAAGTGGTCAACTTCCCTCCAGTTTACGGTACCGACGGCTATGGTGGGGAAAACGATGTGCATCTATACAGTACTTGCTGGATTGGTTGGTAGCAGGTACGCTAAATATTTTCCTTTTCGTTTCTCAGATAGAGAGATCTGCGTCAGGCTAGACCCGTGCACACATTCGGAACACTCGGACGCGATAAGCCCCGCGGGATAATATTTTCATCTATTCTCTATTTTATTCAGAAGCTTTGTGTGGTGGCAGGCGGGGCAAACGAAACGGGTGGGGGGAAAGCTTTGTCGAGTGACTCGAGTATTCTTTTGGCCAGTTTTTGTCTGTCTCAAAAAAAATACAACCGAAAATAAACTGAAAAAATCATATTTAGTATGCTGCTCAATTTGGGAATTGTGCAAACAATCAGTATAAATATCTTTTCGGCGTAAATATGAAACGACTGGTGGAATAGATTGGGCTGTTGCGATAAACATTGGATGCTCGTTGGAAAGCGTACTTCGTGGGAAACGAATATCAACATAGATAGACTTATGATAAGGGAAACCTGGTTTGTTCGTATTTTTTTTAACAACAAAACGACGAATAATGATTGCAAAAAATACCAAAAGAGCAAAGCAATATTGAATCAACACAATAACGAATGTTGAATAAACATCAGCCGACCGTAAACAGGTAGATTAGTACAGTGTTGGCAGCCTTAAGACTGTCCCAATCACGCCAACATGACACTTTCTAAAACGGTAATTTTTTATCCAATCAGACTCAGAACTGTTGAAGCATGGTACAAGTCTAAATCATGGTCAACAGAACCCTCATAAAACCAACTCTAGTGGAGGTATCAATCTATCCTCTTCAGAACTTTCTCTAGCTAATAAATTATGGCACTAAAGTATCATATTGATATTAGTATAGCTTTTCCTACCAACTCTGAAAATCGTAAACTTCACATATACAGTAACAAAAATACACGTTGAATGCTTTCTGAATAGTTGAATGTGTTCGAAGCAATAATTCATTTAAATTAATTATTTTAAAAAAAGCGTCTTTTCGGCCAAACATCCATTCGACCAGACGTCCATTCGGATAAACGTCTTTATGCCAAACGCCGATAAGCCAAACATCCTGAAACGGTAGCTCGCAACAGCTCAAAATTTAGTCGAACGTACTCATTCCACCGGAAGCTATAGCTACTCAAAAGTGATTCGATTACACCATTGAATTACCATGAAATTAAATTCAGATTTATCCTGAACATCTCTTCAAATTTGTTTTATTATTCTATTCAAAATTATCCAGATAATTCCCATGGAATTCTCATCACTATTTCCTACATTTATTCGCAAAAATTCCTTTCAAAATATCCACCAAATTCTTTGGAATTTTCCTCCGAAGTCACTTGAAATACGCTTTGGGTTCTCATGAAGCTCTACTCGATATTCTGTAGGAATTATCCTCAGAATCTCATTGGAGGTATCTTAGCAAATCCATTAAAACATTCCAAGGATTTTCTCTCAATCATTCTCAGATTTCGATTTCCTTCATAACCGTCTCATAGTTTCTTTGGAACTCTTCTGAGAATTGTTTTGGAATTGTCCTCAGACTTCTGGATAAACTATCCTGAGGATCCCCCTAGAAATTTCTTAAAACTTGGCACAGAATTCCTATGAAATTATCTTCGGAATTCCTCTGAAACTCGCCTCAGATTTCCATTGGTTTTATCCTCAAAATTGCAAATGAATTCTCTTTAGGATTCCGTTGACATTCTTCACGTAGTTTGCTAGAATTGCTCCCAGAAATTTATTGAAGTGCTGCTCAGAATATGTTTGCAACGATCCTCAGAATTGGATTTATTTGGAACTCTTTTGAAACTATCCTTAAAATTTAATTCCTCGGGAATCCTACTCAGAATTCTCTTCGAATGTTCTTAAAAATTCCCTTATGATTCTTTTTAGAACTCACCTGGAACTCTTCTCATGGATTTCCCTCCAAAATTACCTTTAAATACTACTCCTTTCGAAATGCCTTGAAATTCTGTTCCGAATTATATTATACTCCTCAGATTTATCTTGGAGTTCTTTTCATGATTCTTCAGAGTTTGTATTTGTATTTGAATGTATCCTTTAAATTCCATTCCCCGGGAATCCTACTGAGAATTCTCTTCGAATGTTCCTCAGAATTCCTTTATGATTCTTCTTAGAATTCACCCAGAATTCTTCTCAAGGATTTCACTCCAAAATTACCTTTCAATTCTACTCAGAACTCCTTTCGAAATGCCATGAAATAATGTGATACTCCTCAGATTTATCTTGAAGTTCTTTTCATGAGTCTTCAGAAAATGCCCTTGAAATTGAAACTATCCTTAAATTCCATTCCCCGAAAATGTTCCTCAGAATTCCCTTACGATTCTTCTTAAAATTCACCCAGAATTCTTCTCACGGATTTCCCTCCAAAATTACCTCTAAATTCTACTCAGAACTCCTTTCGAAATGCCATGAAATTCTGTTCGGAATTATGTTATACTCCTCAGATTTATCTTGAAGTTCTTTTAAGAATTCTTCAGAAAAGCCCTTGGAATTGAAACTATCCTTAAATTCCATTCCCCGGGAATCCTACTGAGAATTCTCTTCGAATGATCCTCAGAATTCGCTTACGATTCTTCTTAGAATTCACCCAGAATTCTTCTCACGGATTTCTCTCCAAATTTACCTCTAAATTCTACTCAGAACTCCTTTCCAGATGCCATGAAATTCTGTTCGGAATTATGTTATACTCCTTAGATTTATCTTGAAGTTCTTTTCAAGATTCTCCAGAAAATGCCCTTGAAATTGAAACTATCCTTAAATTCCATTCCCCGGGAATGTTCCTCCGAATTCCCTTACGATTCTTCTTATAATTCACCCAGAATTCTTCTCACGGATTCCCCTCCAAAATTGTCTTTAAATTCTACTCAGAACTCCTTTCAAAATGCCATGAAATTCTGTTCGGAATTATGTTCTACTCCTCAGATTTATCTTGAAGTTCTTTTCGGAATTCTTCAGAAATGCCTTTTGGAATTGAAAGTATCCCTTAAATTCCATTCCCCGGGAATCCTACT